TGCTCCAGGGGAGCCCTAGGCCCATGGGGGAGGCCCAGCCCTGCTCCAGGGGAGCCCTAGGCCCGTGGGGGAGGCACAGCTCTGCTCCAGGGGAGCCCTAGGCCCATGGGGGAGTCACAACCCTGCTCCGGGGGAGCCCTCGGCCCGCGGGGGAGGCATAGCTGTGCTGGGGGGGAAGCTCTAGGCCTGTAGGGGAGACACAGCCCTGCTCCAGGAGAACCCTAGGCCCATGGGGGAGGCCCAGTCCTGCTGGGGGACCTCAGATGGATAGTGGGGGAAGTGTTGCCCTCAGGGGTTGTGACCATGGGGAGCAGAGCCTAGCCATGGGCCAGCTCTGAGGCAGATGGGTCTCCCTCTCCTGGGGCCCAGGGTCAGCTGGAGGGAGGCCGGTGAAGGGGAGCAGGGACACATCTAACACCTCTACTTCTCTGCAGCCTCGGAGCGAAGCCCTCGGAGGCCCCTGAAGTAGATGAGGACGAGGGTTTTGGTGACTGGTCCCAGAAGTCAGAGCAGCAGCCGCAGCAGCACTGGGTTGAGGAGGGGGCCTTGGATGGCGGAGAGCGCCCCGGGGCTGAAGGTCCAGAGGGCAAGCAGGACAGGCAAGTGGGGGCGGAGGCCCGAACTGCACCTACCCAGCAGCCTCTGACTGCGTTCCCAGCCCGCTCCCCAGTGCCCAGGGCTGTGAGGGAGGAAGGAGGAAGGGAACGAGACAGCAGGGCGGCGGGGAGGGGGCTGCAGGGCGGGCGGTGAGGAAATTTCATTCCTGGGCTCCCCAGGGCCCCTGGGCCCCATCCAGACCAGCTGCGGCGGGGGTGGGCGGTGGGAGTGGGGGGCCGGGGGCGGCCACATCAGCGCACAGCTGCAGCCCACTTACGTAATGCTAGCTCTGCAGCCCCAGCCGCCACCCCCTCCCTGGGGGCTGGCTGATCTCCATTCCCACGGAGGGGAGCAGGTATTTCCAGATGTGTGCCTGGAGTCAGCCTGGGGAGGGGGACACACTTTCCAGATGTTTGGACGTGTGTGCCTCTGAATTAGGGCGGTTGGGGCCCAAAGCAACTCTGGGCCCAGGGATGGGGTCTGTTCCCAGACCCTCACCTGGCCCTCCCCCAGCTCCATGTCTGAGCTGCTCTGAGTAACCAGAGCTGTTTGCAGGAAGACCCCCAGCCCTAGCCCATCAGGCCTGGGCATGGTAGGCCTCCAACCCTGCTCAGAATTCTGCCCCCAGCTTGGGGCCAGGGCCTCAAGTAGCCAGAGCCTGTGGCCGTGCTGCCCACGCTCCCTGACCCAGAGCCCGAGGCCCCTCTGAGGCCCCCAGCCAGCCAGAGTGCTGGTTCAGCTCTCCCCCATGTCACTGCTGCCCCCTTTTCACCTACAACCAGGCTCCCACACCTGAGGTCCCCTGCCTGCCCACTCCTCAGCTTCCCTGCGTGGCCTTTGTCTTCCCTGCACACTCTGGTCTCTGAGAGGAGCGGCCGCCCGACTGGCTGGCCTCATCCTGCCCCCGCCCAACAGCAGGGGGCGCTTTTGCTCTTCTGGTGGATCTCTGGGCCCCTGCAGCCTCCACCCCACCCACACCTGCCTAACCACAAGGAGAGTCAGCTCCTGAATGGCCTCTCTGTGTGGCTGCCCTGGCTCAGACCCCGGCCCACCTTGGGCGGCTGGGTCTGGGTCTTGGCTGGCAGGTACACCAAGGGGCCTGAAATCATGGAAAACCCAAGAATTTACCATCTTCTTCTCCAGGTTCAGTCCCGCTCAGACGCAGAGCCACTCCCGTGGCCAGCAGGCCCCTGTCTCCCATCAGGCAGGACCCACCCTCGCCTCACCCACCACCTGACCCAGGCCCCCCAAACTTCCCCGGACCCCTCCCTCCCTCCCCTGGACGTCCTGCTCTACGAGCCACTTGCCCACACACAGAGTGGGGCAGGAGCAGGCAGGAGGTTGTGGACAGACAGGCTGGCCTCAGAGGGGGCTGTAGGGAGGGGTCCACCCCAGCGCCTGGGTGGCCCTGCACAGCCTGGACCAGGCAGTGGTTGCTCTTCTGGAAGGGACCTCGGGCCTCAGCACAGGACTAGGAAGTGGGGCTGGCTCTGGGGTCCTGGGGCCTCCTTACCCCAAGAAGCTGGGGTCCCAGAAGAACTCAGCAGTCAACTCGTGAGACTGCCGTCGTTTATAGATGGGGAGACTGAGAGGAGGAACGGGAAAGGACTCGAGCCAAGCCGCTGGGTGGCCCTCAGTCGGTTTTGCCTGTTCGACCCACAGGTCCTGCCAGCAAACCTGTGGAAATGAGATCAGTGAAGGGCTGCGGCAAGCCAGTGTCCACCTGGAACAGCTAGGTTTGAGCCAGGAGGGGTCTGGCCCAGAGGAGCCTGTCCAGGGCCACCAGGAGGTGGCAGAGGCTGGGGAGGCAGAGGAGGTGAGGGCTACTCCAAGGGTCCGAGCACCCTCCCACCCTTACAACACCCCGTAGGTCCCGTGATCAGTACAGCTCCCCTTGCCCCAGACTAGCTTCCCAGGCCCACAGTGTGGGGGTGGTGGGGCTGGGCGACCTCTGGGCAAGTTCTTTCCACGTCCCCAGGACTCTGCCCTGCTGTTAAGAATTCCAGAACTGGAGTGTGTCAGGGAGACAGCACCTGAGGCCCAGCCAGGGGAAAGCGCCGGCTTCAGCAGGGCCCGGCTGGAGGAGGGCTGCAGGAGGGGTCACTGGTTGTCTGGGCTTTCTATCCACAGCACCAGAGATGTCAGCAGCCCAGGACCCCCAGCCCCTTGGGCTTGGAGGGGAACACCAGACCAAGCTCACCTCCCCTGAGCCCTACCACCAAAGTACGTCAACCTCAGGTTCCTGCCCATGTCCTCTGCGTCCACTAGGCTCCT